ACTGGATCAGGCATTGATTGACGGAGTGTACTCTCAGTGGATGCGTATTTACCTGGTGACTTCGGAAATCACTGAGTCACTTCCGAAAACACGAAGTCCCACAAGGGAAGCAAAGAGTCCAATCACAAAATGCTTCGTCATCCCCATCCGAAAATGAATGTTCTGTCATGAATAATATTCTCACAAAACCAATACCAACTTAAAGCCCGCCAACACAGTCAAACATAATGAGTCCACAGGCGCCAAAACACTTCTGACAGGGGATTCTCATCAGTAATTCTACATTTTTCGCTCGCTCGCTATGTCCGCTCGCTCGCTCTCGTCCCCCATCCCACCCCCCGCTGCAGACAAGACGCGCCGGCTCGGCAGCGAAGTACCGCGAGAAGCGCAAGCAGCGCCTGAGCGCACTTGTGCCATTCGGCGTTGAGCCTGAGTACGATTCCATGGGTAGTGCGGAAGAAAGTAGCATTTTCGATTAGATATTTGACAATCAATTTCTTTTTGACTTTGTGTTCAGTTGTTCACTTGCTTTCCAACAAAATCATTCAGTCCTATCACATCGACTTCGTGCAATGGTTGATCACTCTGTCATTTCGTAAATTCATTCGCACATCTTCAAAAGCAGAATGATTTGCAATTTCACAAATTGGTTTTCAAAGGTTCTACTCTTTTGCCCATAGACTAATAACTTGATCAAGAGGTCTAATGATATCGAACTGGCTCTTCCACTTAAAGAGGAACGGACTAGTATACTTCAATACCATGTCAGAAACTCATTCATTTTGACCAATTGCAGTGTAGATACAATAGGAACTGTGATTGACTGGAAGAAATCTCCTGATTATAGCCAATCAAGTTGGATTGACTCGAGCAATTAAAAGTATTTGGTTTCGTTCTGCCTCCATGCATGATGATTCCTTGTAGGCTCTTTCCGGGGTTCACAGTACCTCCGCGACAATTGGCGTGGTGATAAGCAAGCTGGCGAAGGGCTAGCTGACCTTGTCAAAGCAGCACATTGCGTGTGAGGGGTGAAGGATTAGCATGGGATCCCCATCAGGTTAGTGCGATACTGTTTTTATATAGAAACAATGTGATGCCCATACATTCATCCATTCGTTTCTATTCAAGATTATGCAAATGCCAGTTCGACATCACAAGTGGAAAATGCCATCTCGAACTGTTTCATCCACGTTTGCTATGTAGAACGAGGTATGCCCTCGATCGCACAAATCGCAATCGCGCTGAGTTTGCATTTTTCGTACGCATGGAGGAGCTGAACCCTTGTTTTTAACTGTGTAACGGCGATGAGCGCGCTGCGGAAGGACAGAACTAGGCATTTCAACGTTTTACAGTGCCTCAAATCAACCAATTAGAGACCTCTAATTCATATTCTATATTTGTCCTATCATGGACTGGTATAGAGTGTGAACCAATCAGAGATATATCGCGAAAGTCGCTGAAGTATATTTAGCCAATCATGGACTAAATAGGAATTTTGCTACTGGTCTGGTGTGTGAAATTTACTCATCCCACTGCAAATTTAATGATAGTACAACGCTTGCGAGTTTTTTCCCGGTTCACTGTAGATCAACGACAACCGGCGCAATGCTATCTTGCAACGCATCTTGACCCGCATGGTGGATCATGCAAATAAAAAATGTGAGGCTAAAGTGGACGTGGCGAAGGATTGCCGTTGCTTCGAGTTCTCGGTTTCGTCGTACGTGCGGTCAATATCAGACGGAGGTCGTAGATTCGATCGATAGAACCAAGCCCCTTTCGCACATTCCGTTGGGAAAAAGAAGATGGAGGTGGCTGCCTTTGAAGGCAACGATGTCGCGTAGTGCTCAATGAAAGAATTTGAGGTACAGGGACGACTCCATACAACACACTTGTCAAGCACCACGTCCTTACTGTCAGCGAGGTTTCCATTGCAATATGCGGCGAAACAATACCAGTCCATATCGAGGAGATCGGCGACGACCCCCCTCATCTAGTTAGGGCCAAGTTATGTTGACGAATAATCCCAAGGAAGCAAAATGCCGACAGGCATTTTCGAGACCTCGTTGTGGTGGTGTTGGGGTTCTCAACTCGTTCATGCCCATTCAACCATTAACTCGACCAAACCACCCATCATTTTAAACTTGGCCGTACCGACACTGTCACCGGTGAGTAGAGTGGCCCTACGTACAAACCAAAGGCAGACGCCACGACGCCCCCAAGATCCAACGGTAGAGCCTTCGCGTCAGGCGCTTTCCGTCCAGATTCGGTTTGTTCAACTTTGCGGTGGTGATCAGCTTCGGGAATTCACCAGTTCAGTGAGTGGGTCTCCGTGTCGAAAGTCTGTGTTTTAGTTTGCGCGGTAGTAGTGGCGGCCCCCCACACCACATCGCCCAGGTCAAAATCCTCGGCCAATGGCCAAGCGCTGTAGCTACAAGTATGCACCTCCCACATAATGCAGGCCGATTCGTGAAGGAGTACATCTCTGCCTGAGTTGAAGATTCGTCGGCAGTGCTAGTTTGATTGTAATCAAACTGGCACATGCCGACGAACTGTTGTGGTGGTGGCACAGACATCCATAAACCACTGGTCACAATTCCGAATCTTCCCGCGTCGGCCCCGCGTGGTATGTGCGAATTTGCCCGCGACGAGGGGGCGGGCGGGCGTGCATGTATCCAATTCTCGTGCGAGATCAAAACGAGGAACTGGCAAAAACTGCCCCACCTGACACGCTCTTCGACCGCCCTCTTGCGTCTTCGGCGTGACCTAAGCACACGCACCCACACGCCATTGAATCGTGAAAGGGCGAGCGCTACACTACTTAGCATGGTTTTCGAATTACGCTGAAAGCCAAATCAGTGCTCCACGACACAGTGTTTTGATGTGTATTGCCGTGAGCGGAGCTTGACGGGGGAGGAGCAGTGGTGAGGTGGGTTTGCGCGCGAAAGACGCTAGACCCGTTTCACTCGCATCGGATCTACTTTCACCCGGCAGAAGTGCTTGATTCTTGCGTTGGCCCAGCAGAACACACCTACGCACCGAGACGAATGGATAGTTCGAGACGACATGACTTTAGTCGCAAACGTCGTAGCAACTCATTTTAGGTTTAGTACTACGACCTTGTTCCTCCGCCACACTTGCGTTATCGCGACGGCTCCATTGAGGACGGGGCGGACGCGGGCTACCCCAAGTGCCTCTTTGGATGGCGTGTGTATTGCATTCAATGAGCAGCACGTACATCCGCGGCACTGCGTCGCGGCCGATGTCTCCCTCAGACGTGATCCGACATTGCCCATCACGAAGACTACCGCCGCAGCCACCCCAGCGGTAGGCACTCAAGCGATCGTGCTTGCTCTGCTTGACCGCTGGAGGCGTTCAGCTCCCCCCTTCCCATGACGTTGCGAGAGGCGCAACGTGCCAACCTCGGCGGCGCTCGCTCTGAACGTTACTCACAGCTTGCGAATCTCGAGTCGTTGTTTGGAGCGGTACGCCAGCGAAAGATATGGGTAATGAAGGCGCGTTGGCAGCCGCCGCCCATCTCGATCTCTTCCCACGAACGCTGCTCCATCCACCGTCGGCAGCCGATCGCTTACGAACTCTTCTCGATCCACCCGCACCCACACTGTCGTTTCCTTGTCACACCGCGTTCATGCAGCGGTGCATCTTCACGGGGTGCCCCAACCAAGTTGTGTCGGACGATTCCGGCAAATGCTTGTTCCATCTCCACCGGAGCAAGTGTGTGACTCCGGGGTGCGCCAACCAGGTCTACGCTCGCAATCTGTGTGTGCGCCACGGAGGTAAGCGACGATGCCAGGCGGAAGGTTGCGACCTCAACTGCCGCAAGGGCGACTAATGTACCAAGCATGGCCCGACCAGTGCCCTCCGCATTTGCTCTGAAGACGGATGTCAAAGCCAAGTGCACTTACAAGGCAAGTGCTTTCGCCATGGAGGGAACCGCCAGTGCATTGCCAACGGCTGCGAGGCGATTGCACGGCTTCGAGGGCTGTGCGCCAGGCATACACCGAAACCCCCACGCCTGACCAGCCACCACGCGGGCGGGGACTCGTCTCCGGGGACCGCGAGCCTCGCCTCGGTGCACGCCGAAGTGTCGAGATTGCTGGCGTATTACTACAACGATGACGAAACGTGACAAATGTCCAGTCTTGTCATGTTTTTCGTGCTGTGCAAATATGCACTATGCAAGTTGATTTCCCGACCGTCCGGACCCCCCCCCAGACCGCTTCCGGGAATTGCTTAGTGACCACGAGCAAGAATCGTTTTCGGGATTCGACGATCAACCGAACACGATGGACTGTTGAGCAAATTGGCTGTTGTTGGTCCCTGCGGTCGAAGGGAATGAATCGATTGCGCCACCCGCATTGAGGAAGGGGATGTCAAAAATAATATCCTTCTTCGGGGATGCCTCTCCAGATAGAGGTTCGGGCTCCACTTTCCCGATCGAACGAATCTACGAAGAGCGCGTCTACACGGGGGAACGCGGTCGTTCAGCGCGCACACTTGCGCTGGACGACGCAAAGAACGAATGGGTACGCACGACGAAAATTTGCACCCGACATCCGCTTCGCGGATCCTCCACGCCACCGGAGGTGCTCGCTGTTGTAGAATACTTGCTGGTCGGGTGCTGGGCCTGTGGAGAAATAAGAAGGAATAACGTGCGAGGCTCGCAACGGCCAGTCGCTGCCTAGTCGATGATCCATAACGATGCCTACAAAATCCCTTTAGCACTCGCAGCGCCGCCACGAAAACGCCGGCCTTACTCGGAAAGATCCATCTCGCATTGGTCAACGAATCAGCGTGACTCATGGTAACCATTCAGGGCAGAGAAGATTGATTTAAACCGATATTGCATGGACGAGCGAGGCGCTTCATGAATGGTCGCGCTAGCAGCGTGCGAGGTCCTCAGTGAACCAGACACATCCACTATTGCCGATCAGATGCCGCAACACGGTGGCCACTCCTCTTGTATGTGGTGGCGCAGAACCCGAGCAAGTTTGTACGGGGCGGCGGGGCGCAACCACACTCGCGATGAAAATCGACTTCTCCATCGCACTCAATGCGTGTGTTCCAGGCGTGAAATGTGAACCCCGTAAAATTCAGGAGAGGTTGTAGCTCAGACCTGCATCAAACGACGGGATGATGACGTGCGCAAGTGCAAAGCGCTTCACTTGCAAGGCGCGACGTACGGGCGATGGCTCTTCGATTGGATCGATGTTGCGAACACGCAATTGGCAAGTAAACAATTCCAGCATCGTCAGCAACGCTGTGGGTCTTTATGGCGTTAACTTGACATGTCGGCCAACATGGTCCAGGCGGACATCTCATCCTGCATCGTCGAGTTGTGGCAGTGGAGTTGCGAGGGATTTTCTAGCGGAGCGAGCTGGAAGGCTTCGTGGATCCAGTACCGATCTGTCAACGACAGACTTTCCAGCATCGATTCAAGTGCACTCACGTCCACTTATTCGATGTATCGACAGCGAAGTGTGACATCGCGGTGGGATTCTTTGGAGTGTGGCGAGCGCAGAACCTGCGGTTCCGGAAAAATGTGGCACTGTTGTCAGTCCGCGCCTTGTTTGTCCGCAAGGCGTCCTCCTTTCGGGAAGCAATGCAAATCCAAACTTGGTTACTTCTCATTACCGTGTAGTTTAAGTCGTTCGCGACAGATAAGTCGTTTGCGATTCCTGCATAAATGGCAGTCGCGGGGCAATATTAGTTTTGCACGACTTCGCGGGAAATACTCCTTTATACTTGATAATACCTCTCGGCCTACAATATATATCGATTTATAGAGGTCAAACCGATTTTCAGAGGTTTTATGCGCGGGAAATACAAGGACACCTTTCTTGACACGCCTGGCTCACTCGCGACATGCAATGAACTCGGACGAGGTTCCTCCCACAAGGAAGCCCCGGCGGCAAGTACGAGCGAACAAGGCACAAGCATCGTCGTTCAAGTTGATTGCTCCGTCGCGAAGTACCATTGTGCAGTGGATTACTCAAGTGTGGACCGATTTGCCTCGCTCGACAATTCTAAATGGATTTGGTAAGTGCAAGCTGATTGCTCCAGTAGCAGATATGTCGCCTGTAGAGTCCGTCGAAGTTGACGAGGACATGTTGGCTCAACTGGTGGCGAGTTGTGCTGTTGATGACACTTTCCATTCGTCAGACGAGATTGACATGGATGAAGAATAATATAAACAGAAATTTTGTATTGAGACCATTGTGTAATTTAACTGCAGAATATTTGTACCCTTGAATTCTAATACTCCTTCAATTTGTATGTTTTCGCAGCTCTTTGTGTGAAGCGCTGTAATATGTAATTTGTATGTCTCAAACGACTAAAAATACCTAGAGCTCCTCTGTAGTGTGGTTGTGAAATATCACCCACCGCAAACGACTTAAATTACACGGTACCTTTCTAGTCAATTCACTTCGTTCCCCTCAATGGACCTCTAAACCAATGAATGGGTCCTTCTCGAGTAATTGATCACAGACGGTATGTACTCATTCGCTTTACATGTGACTCACTCCCTCGTTGGCCTCGAGGATCGGTGAAATCGTGAAGGTTGTCACTATCCTTCTAAAGAACAACCTCCATTGGTTTGATTGTGAGTTTAAGCTAGCAAGAATAGATTTGTGGAGGTACAAAATAACTTATGGCTTGGACCAATATCCAAGCCAAGCCTTTGGCGCGTAGCATGTCGGTTTGACGATTAGGCGGTGGAGAATGGGCCCCGGGGTGTGCCAAAGTTTTCCCCAAAATCATAATTTTTACAAAAAATCGTGGTCCATGCAAATTTAACTATATTGAGCTTGAATTAATAAAAAATATCGTCTCCCTCGTCATAGCCAATGTCGTAGTCCTCGCTGGTGTAACCCGAGTTCGCACGACCCAGCACAGCCTGATACGAGCCTTACGGTTCTCACGATACTTCGCCTTGGAGAACA